GGGAGGTACACAAAGTTACAAAATAAAAGGACCCACTGAGAGACCAGAACAGTAAATACAAAGAAAAAACTCCCAGGAAGGCACATCATTGTGAAATCTCAGATGACCAGAGCTAAAGGCTCCTAACAGCTTCCAGAGAGAGAAAGAGAAAAGCAAAATGAAAGCAGGGAATGTCATTGCGTCTCTCTGAAGCACACGGTAAACTAGAATCCTGCACAGAACTGATTTTCAACCTAGAATTCTACACTCAGCTAGAAAATAGAACAAAGACACTTCAAACATAAATGACCCAAAACACCTAGCTCATGCGTACTCTCCTGGGAAATGACAGGAGAAAGAGCTTGTCCTGCAGAGGCTCTCCCTGTTCCCCAACTGGAATTCCCAGCTCCCCAATCCCAGAGCACTGTGTTAAAGCACCTTGTATTTGCCCTGGCCCCAAACAGCACGTCCCCACGTCTGCGCCCCGTGCCCCCCCCCCCACAAGTGCAAGCCTGTACCTATAAAACACCAAGTACTCAAGAAGAATCTGTTAAATCACCATGGGCCAGATATGCCTTGAAATTTTGTCTGTCATTTAAAGAATGCATCCCACAAGCACTGATTATCCCATAAATGCCCCCTTTTTATACCATAATGGACTTGTTTTAAAATGAAACATCTATGTGCACAACTCAAGAGCAGTGGTCTTGCTTTAGTAAAGCCTTTTTCTTAGACGTTAGTTTATTAGGGCAGTTTTAGGTTCCCAGCAAATTTTAAAAGGTACAGAGACTTCCCAGAGACTCCCAGCCCCTACACATACAGAGCCTCCCTCATTAGCAACGTCCTCCAGCAGTTCTTGCAATTGATGAACCTACACTGACACATCATAATCACCTAACGTCCACAGCTTATATTAGGCTTCGGTCTTGGTGGTGCACGTTCTGTGCGTTTCAACGAATGTATCACGGCAGGCGTCCACCGTTACCCTAAAAATCCTCTGTGCTCTGCCTATTCGTCCCTCCCCACTGGGCCCCGTGGTAATGCTTTTTAATACTATTGGTTCGGAGTATGGGCAACATGTTTGCAGTTCTGTGGGCCAGGTCTCTCTGCAACTACTCAACTCTGCCGTTGGAAAGTAAATGCCTCCATCACAATAGGTAAACGATGGGCATCTCTGTGTACCAGTAACGCTTTTATTTACCAAACAGGCAGCCCACATGCTGTCATCTGCTGACCCCTGGACAACAGTATCACTTTATTCATTCCCACCATTTTACAGAAAAGAAGTTTCTTAATAGCTTGACTTGGCAACAATACGGTTTTTTGGTTTTGTTTTTGTCTTCAATTTTTCTCTCTGAAATCTATCCTCTTTCTGGAAGTTGAAACAACACCCAATCAAAAGCTGAGATGGTATGCTGAAAGACAATCCCCTTCTCAGAACATCCCTGCTCTGAAGCCACATTGCCCTTCTCCACTTTAAACCCCAAGCTTCTCAAAACTCTGAAGGAAATCACTCGCTCTTCGAAACTGTGATCTCTGCGTTTCCAGCAAGCGTGGCTTAGGCTGCCTCACAGAGCAAGTCCCATAGCATGGCTACCACAGGGACGTGCCACTTGCTGAAAGTCTGGCACGTGAGCCCTTCAGGGCAGTGCCGTTGGACTGCTTACGGTAAACTGAGAACAAGATCTTTTGTTTCCAAAAGTAATCAACGTTTGTTCCTGCGTTCAAAGAAAACCAATTGTTCTGCAGAACAACACGTGGACCTCAACGACCCTCCAGTCACCAATTACCCGTGAACAGAACAGAAGCAAACCCACGTTTACCTAGAATGGGGAGTTTGTCTCCGGAGATCCCTTGGTCCAGAGCCCCTGTGTCCACTCACCCAAATGCAACCCACGAAGTTGATTTTACTGAAGGGAGAAAGAGTGTGCATACAAAATGCGAGTCCACTGAGGTCACCCCCTCTGAGGCCTGCCACCTCTTCGAGGAGCAAAGAGTCACACCAACCACTAGGCTTCCTATCAGCTACAATAAGAGATCCAGAAAACAGCGCTGGTGGTTTTTCTAAGTGGACACGGCAGCTCCCTGCAAGGCAACCTCTGACCTGTCATACAAGAGCAAGAGAGCAGATGAAAATACTCACCAAAGCCTAGAGACTGGGGAGGATTCTGTGTCTGGCAAGTAGTAAAAATCTGTAACATTATAAGTACATCTTAAGCAAAAGATAGTAATAGCCTCTGTCAAAACACTTGTCTAGCACAGATGGGACATCAGCCTCGCATTCGACAAGGCAGCTGGTGGGCAGACTTGTCAGGAAACGCATCTGACAGGGAGGGTGAGCCTCTGAAAGAAACACTTTTGTGGGGCCTGGCCTCTACTCTTTGTGGTCCAGCAGTCTTCTAGCTTGAGCTATTCACATAAGACCTATTTCCCTCCCAAGTTCAAATGCAACAGTAGCTACGAAATTGTGCTGCAGTCAGTCCTCAGTTAACAGTTTGAAAGCCAGGATTAAGGTTTTCCCACAGGGTTTCACTTCTTATAATTTTTGAAGCCCCTTGAAGCTCAGCACCGAGTCTTTGGGAGAACAGAACATGTCTTAAAATCACAGAGAACTTGAGTGACCCCACAAGGATACAGGTGGAGACCAGATAGAAGCGGACCCCAGGTGAATACCACCCCAGGTACCTCTAAACAATGCCAGCACAGGAATCCCTGACAGTAAGGAGACAGGAAATCAACACTGCAGACATTCCTCCAGCTGGCACCTACACTGCCTCCGACACAGACTCACTTAAAACAAAACATGACTTCAGAGAGGAAGAACGAACTCGGACAGGAAGTGAATCCAAATGGATGCGTGACCTTAAACAGCGGGCGTGACTGGAGCGCCCTGCGCCATGCGTCATGCAGGCTGTGCCCCTGGCGATACTAACCTCAGAGGGCATTTTGGGAAGCATGCCCAGGAGTGTGCTTTCTCTCAGTCTCCCCCATGACTCCAAAGCCAAACCCTCTCCATGAACCAATGTGTTCAATCTAAGTCTCCTTTTTCTTTTCTCAGGGCTGCTGTGACAAATTACCACAAACCTGGTGGCTGAAAATGAAAGAAATTTCTTCCCTCACAGTTCTGGGAAGCCGGAAGTCTAAAATCAAGGTGTTGGCTGGGCCACGGTCCCTGTGAAGGCTCCAGGGGAGGCTCCTTCCCTGCCTCTTCCAGCTTCTGGTGGCTCCAGGTGCTCCTTGGCTTGTGGCTGCGTCACTGCAATCACTGCCTCTGCCTTCACGTGGCCTTCTTCCTTGCATCTCTAAGTCTCAATGTTCTTCTGCCTTTCTCTTGTAGGGACATCTGTCATTGGACTCAGGGCCCACCCTAAAGCCAGGATGATCTCATCTCGAGATCCTTAACTTAATTACATCTGCAAAGGCTTCTTTCCAAACAAGGTCACATTCACAGGCCCTGTGGGCTAGGACTTGGACTATCTTTTGGGGGGCCATTATTCAACCCACTAAAGTCCCCAGTAAACTAGAGGAGAAAATGAGTTATTTATTTAAATGCACGTGGGCTGTGAACACCCTGTTGTATTTAATCACCTAAAGCCCAAGACACTATCACGTTAGAGGCTGGCATGAAGTCGGCTAAGTGTCCCTGAACAAGTTGCTGAGCCCGTCTAAGCTTCACTGTCCCTGTACACGAAGTGGGGACAACCGGACCTGGCAGGGCTGTGGCACAGGCTGATGGAGATCCACTTAGAGGGCCGGGCACCTCTGTATTGTTGACAGGCCCTAATCTCTAATGACTCTGAGCAAAATGCCCAAGAACCACTCTGCGGGAAAGGCCGTCCAGTTATTCCCTGATCCAGCCACTACCAGGTGTGTATTGGGTACTTAGAAAAAAGAGAAAAGATTAAGGTAACAGGCTCGCCAAAGCTAAACAACGATCAGACCTGTGGGGAATCAAGGACCCCCGGTCAGGAGAGCAGGCTGTCCTCTCCCAGGTGGTCACCTGTGGGCCTGGTTCCTCTCCAATGATCCCAGAATCACCAACCTAAATATAAAGCCTGCACTGCCCGTGGACTCCCCAGGACACGCGCTGTGTCTCGCTTATCTTTGTGTCCCCAGCACCTATCACAGTCAGTGCCCGGCACCTAAGTCACTCAGTAAACACTGATGGAACGAACGAAGACACAAACCGGAACACTCTGGGAACCTCAGCCCTGAGGCTGAACAACGCGTGGATGACGGGGCTTTATCCGAAGCACGACACCAAGGACGTGACAGACGCTGATGGACTAAATAAGATAACGCACCTTCTTAACACCTGGGCCCGGCAGACGCCCAGCAATGTCAGTGACGCCCATCTCTTCTTTTAACCCTCACTCCAGCCAGTAGCGGAGGCCTTATTCCCACTTGACACAGCAGGAACTGAAGCACAGAGAGGTTAAGTCACAGAGCTAGGACCTGGCAGAGTCAGGATTTGTCACACTTTAAAGAGCTGTATGCCTTGCACTACACCACCCCGCACCTGATCCATGTTAGTTATTCTCTGCTTAAGGCTGGTCCCAGCTCACATGCCCACAATCAGACTGTGTATTAGGGAGGGTGTATGTTCATTTATATATATACACACACACATATATACTATATGTTGGTACACACACACACACACATACACTACCTTCACTGAAGGAGTAAACTAGAGAGAACACTGAGCTGAAAGGCATAAGGTCCCAGGGAACATGGTTAATTCCCTCGCACTGTCAAGTGCTGATTGGTACTGCCAAAGGGTAAAGTGTCACATGTTACACTCCGCCGAGTTCACAAAAGCAACATACGCAATGTTTTGTAAACTCCAGAGCCTTGTCCTGAGGCTCATTATTTCCTATTGAATATCTAGTTTCTAAGCCAACCAGTGAAGAAAAGTGAACGGTGCTCGACCTTCGTGTATCAACTCTTTCCCCTCAACTCCCGAAGAAAGTGATGAGGAGGCACGACCCAGGAATTAGTGTCCCAGCCACTGAACTTACAGGAGGAATGGATGCTGGGGAAGCTTTTGCGGCCCTCGGACACCAGATCGGGGTCACCCGTGCAGTGCATTTCCGAGTTCATCACTCCATCTGGAAAGCAGCGGTAAAAGAAATCGGGGCGAGGTCTACAAAAGACACCATGGACATTTTCAATATAAAACGCTGCCATCACAAACAAGCCCCAAGCTAACCCCGCTGTCCCCCGCTGGCCTAGCTCCTCCTGCTGCCGTCAACAGCGCAGCCCGCCCCGCCCCGAAGACACTATGGGCTTAGGCAAAGCTCAGGCTTTGGGGTCAGAGAGATCTGGGCTGCAACTCCCACTCTGCCACTTACTAGTTTTATGACCTTGGGAAGGTCATGTAGCCATCCCCCACCCCAGCCTCAGTTTCCACATCTGTAAAAAAGGGAGATCAATACCTACCCAAAGGTGAGGTCCTGCAGGTCAAGTGAGGTGACTTCCAGGAGCCACCTAAGCCCAGGGCCGGCGGAGTAGAGGGTAGTTCCTGCCTCCACCTATGGGTCCGCTACTCGGAGGCTGCTTCCAGGACCCAAGCCTCCAGGCTCCTCGTGGCCCTGTAGCTTGAATTTGGATGGCCAACTGCCTGCCCTTCCTTAAATAGCAGTCTCACTTAAGCTCACTGAGAGGACCTGGAAGCCCAGCTCCAAGATGCAGAGCACACGGTCGCCAGGTTGGCACCTGGTCCAGGTTGCGGGGGAGGCTCTACAGGGAGGCGGTTACAAGCCGGCCCCGAGGCCGAGCCTCCTGCCACAATCACGGATAACGTGTACTGAGTACGTACTGCATACCAGACCCAGCACTAAGCACCGCCCGTGGGTGCATGTTTTTTTAAATTTTATTTCCTTTTAAAATTTTTATTGGAGTATAGTTGCTTTGCAGTGTTGTGTTAGTGTCTGCTGTACAGTAAAGTGAATCAGTTACATGTATACATAGATTCCCCTCTTTTACATTTCCTTCCCAGTGAGGTCACCACAGAGCACTGAGCAGAGGCCCCTGTGCTAAACGGTAGGTTCTCATTAGTTATCTATTTTATACATAGCGGTGTATATAAGTCAACCCCCATCTCCCAATTCATCCCACCCCTCTTTCCACCTTGGTAACCGTAAGTTTGCTCTCTACATCTGTGACTCTGTGTGTCATACGATTCTTATGACAACCCTGGGGCAGGCCTTCGGACCGCCTTCATTTCACAGGTGCGAAAATGAAGGCTCAGAAAGATTACACTACTGCCCAAGGTCACACACAACCAGTAAGTGGCAAAGACAAGCTCTGAACCCCAGAAATTGGATTCTTGTGCCTACACAGCTCACCCCATGCTTGTCCACCTCACTCAAGTGTGGACTCTCACACAGATGTGTGATGGCGAATTACTTCACATTAATTCAACCTTTGCCGAATGCCTGCCGTGGACAAGGTCTAGCACTGTAAACACAATCCCCCTTTTCTGTACGTACTGGGTTACAGTTCACACAGACTGACTCACTGGTCCTCCAGCTCTGGGATCTGGGCCCCGTAACAATCTATCGGTATCTGTAACATATCAATTATCAGTAATCTACCAGAACTGCTGGCTTACTGTCTCTCCCCTATGTGGCTAGTGTTCCTCCAAGTGTGGCTATTCACCTACTGAACCAGAACCTCAGAGCGGACACGGCCTGGGCATCGGCATTTTATCGGGCCCCACAGCAACTCTAAGCCTGGAAAGTTGCAAGGACACTGCAGCCCCAAGCCACGCACTGCGCAATCTGTATCCCTCTTCTGCCCCCTCGATGCCTGGCCAGCACCACGCACCAAGTATTTACATGATCACTGATACTGAGGTTCCAAGAGGGGAACCAACCTGTCCAAGGCCAACAGCCAGGCAGGGCCAAGGTCAGGTCCTGAATTCGGGTCTTTTGACGGTTCGTCTCTACAGAGATTAGCTCACTGCCAGAGCGGCTGAGGGAGGAGGCAAGATAAATGGAGAAGAGAAATCACTTCCCAGGGGAGTAAGAGAAATGTGCCATGAGCCAAAGCTCAAATGCCAATCCAGATTTCTTATTCCAAAGAGAACGATAAAGAAGAAAGCTTATTTGTTTTTTGGAGGCCAAAACTGGCAAGTGAGTGGGTGTCTGGTGAGGCCCTGGAACATCAGTGGACGGACCAGAGATGCCAGCAGTGGGCTTTGGTCCACAAGAAAGTATAGTCAGTGGATACCGCTTTACTACTGATGCCCTGCTTTCTGAAATACTGAGTTCATAATTCAAAGGAGAGGAAAGATCTGTGCTGAGGACAGAAATCTCAGAAGGACAATAACTTAAGGGAAAACCAGAAGAGCTCAAATTTGTCCCATCCAGTGTCCTGCGGCCAAGGCTCCTACATAGAAAACCCTGAGAATCAGTCACTATTTGTTTCTTTTTTGGAACTTACCTTCCCACTATTAATTTAATAGTGTTTGTGCAGACTCCATTCAAAGCAAGAGCCAAGGACACGGCTACAAAACAAAACCAACAGACAGAAAAATAACCAGCGGGCTCGCAAATCAAAACCGTCATCATCATCGTTATCATCACCACCGTCACCTCTGTCCCATCATATACTACTGTTTAGTTTATGACCGCAGATATGAGCGCATACTCTAAAAAAGGGAGGCAAGTTTGAGCAGCTAAAGGAAAATGTAACTGGAACAGGACTCTGGAGAGTGACTCATAAAATTCCAAGCCCCTGTGACATGAAATTGATCTCTCCTCCTTGAATGAAATTTTCAATATCACTGAGAAGCCCATCTATCATGTTCTGGCCTGATAGGAACAGATTTAATAGGACAGCATGTAGAATCCCTTTTACTGGTAGCAAGAAACATAACTTTTTTATTTCCTTCTGGCAATCTTCTCAGACACAATTCTAATCAGAGCAGCTGCTGGAATCCTACTGCAAGTAGGACGTGCCCACTCAGCCATCACCTCCTTGTTGACCCGCGTCTCCTGCTGACGGCTCTCCACTTGTTATCAAACAAATCACCGTTTCCGAGAAGGTGAAGTGTCCCCAAAACCTCGTTCGTTTTTGAAAAGATTTGCCCAGGTGGTGCTTCCTGCCACCTAAAACAGTAGGCATTTCTGGATTACATTCTTTAAAAATAGGCAGCACAGGGACTTTCTCCCAGCAGCTTGGAAGGACTTTGCTGGATGAAGCACAGATCGTCCAAAGGGTGCAGATGAAATGAGTCACGGAGCTTTCCCTGCAAGGACCCTGCACCTCTCTCCTGTGTTTATCAAGACTGCACAAAAGGCAAGTCAATGCGATGGAAGGCCAAATGCTTTGCATAAGCAATAAAAACTTATTGATGCCCCGTTCCATTGCTTTGTTGAATAATAAAGCATATGAGTTACGATTTCCCTTTGGCAAGTATTAACTGTTCAATACTAGCTGAGATTTACGGAAGAAAACAGCAGTGGAGGGCCATTTTCGGAAAGGAGCTGCCTGGAGCAATTCATGGTCATCAAGGGAGACAAATGTGTTATTCTACAAACGGAAAGTACTGTGAACCGTCAACAGTCACCAAGGGCAGAGGCCACTGAGATGGAGACAGAACCCACCCGCTTTTAACAAGTCATGGGAAGCAAAGAGAACGGGAGGGACCAGTTCAAATGAACACCTCTGTCAAAGGGAAACTAATCGCCTAAGTGCGGGATGGGCAGCAGTGCCATATCTGACTGTGGCAGCAAAGGAGGGATGGGCCACCGGGGTGGGGAGCAGAGCATGAGTCAGCAGCGCGGCACCACCTTTAAAATACCGAGCACGCAACTGGGGTATATAAACCGGAAGCAAGAGTGGGGGGACTTGGAGAGATATGATTACATTCTGCACGCACAGACCCTTCCTTCCTAAAACGCTGGCTTCCCTTCTTTCTCACAAGCTCACAGCACTGCTGAGAGGCCTCCTTTGCAGAGAGGAGGGAAAATTCCCCGGGCCATCTCCACTGCAGAATTCTCCCAGAGCTACGACAATTAACAGGCTGTGAAATAGCCCTGAGATGACAGGGGCTTTTCTTCTCAGGGCTAGTCCAGCGGGCTCACTGTTGTGTTTTCCCAGAGGGGCCAGACTCCCTCGTGTCCTGGTCCTAGCATGGCCTCTGCACAGAGAAGGTCTCTGGGAACAAGCATCACTAGCTGATCTCCCAACGCCCTTGGGGAACTTCAGAGACTGCTACATCAGCCCAGAAACACCATACACGTCCTCAACCTCTGCACCGGCTGGGTTTACTGGAGCACAGAGCAACTGTCTGCAAAGCTTCAAGCAGCTGAGCTAGAAAATGTGTGGATGTGATGTAAGCACCAACAGCTGGCAGCTTCACTCTCTGATCCAAAAGCCTGAAGGAGACAGAAGAGAGTGGGCATCTGCAACGACAGTCCTTAGGGTGGGAGTCATTGCAGCCTTCCGGAAGTGAAATGAATTGATTATTATGTTCATCTGAATCGCACAACCCCCAGGGGGACCAAGATAGGGGACCTCTCACTGATACCAGAGGGAAGGCTGGGCTGAGACTGGATGTGTGACAGGCTGGCCAAGCGGGAAATGAATGGCGCCAATCATGGGGGCAGGGGGTGGCTTGTTGATTAACAATAACCCAGCGGGCCTGGTTCCTCAGGGCTGTGTTTACAGCATCCCACAGCACTGCGGGCTTGAGAGAAGAGTCAGAAAGACAAGCCAGGCTGTGTCTGAAAAAGAAATTCAAAGCAGTGTGTCATGTGAGTTGGCCTGCAAGTGGCCTATATGGAGGGCACTCCTGCTTATAGGCACCCCAGAGGATTAAGAGGGGCTTTTGGTGTTGTTACTTTTGTTGTTGGGAATTCAGCACCACAGTCCTTCCAAAACGGGGTTCTCCGATTTACAGACCTGGCTGTTCCGCAGCCAGATCCCTTAGAGCCCGATGCTGGGTGGGGCAGGCCTCACTTGTCCAAGAGCAGATGCACAAGGGGGGCTGCTGTGGACAGGCGGATCAGGGGAGCTCTGGGGGTTCGGGTCTGCTGAAGATGCCTGGGTAAAGAAGGGACCTCAGCACTAAACCACCCTCACTGAGAAAGTCCTGCATCCCAGGTAATGGTGGAAAAGCTACACCTAGTTTTCTGTCCTTGGTTTTTAAAGATCACTCTCCCCACCCCCTCCTTCCAAGGCTTCCTAAAAGCAGCAATTTAAAACAAACTGTGTACAATGGGAGGTTCTTCATCATTTTTACAAGGCAGGCTCTCATTTATCTAGGCAAACAGAACATCCAATAACTCCGCCTTCTCTGTTAACATATAGGAGGCCGGGTATGGGGTGCAATTTTGAGATGTCACCCTAAGGGAGATTTAGCGGAGAATGAAAGGTCTAGGGAGAGTAACTGTAAGCTACTCACTGCCGTAACAACAGCCCAGCTCCAAGAGCGGGCAGTAAATTATAACCATAACCACGAAACACAGTTCCTACCCACAGTCACATATCTCGGGACTCCGCGCCAAGGGAGCGACTAGAATAACAAGTGAAGCAGGGGGATTTCCAGGTCAACTGAGAGGGCTCCTAAAGGGACATTTGGGGGACCACAGTGGTATCTGTCCAGATGCTCGAGCCCCATGTGGGAGGGCACCTACGCCCTTCCTGGAAAACCTGACCTTTTCACCACCTCAGCTGAGGAGACAGAGACCATGTGACGAACAAAGCATCAACCCGCACTTAAGCAGCCAGGGGTACACACCTGACTTCAGGGAAGGCATCCACAGGCTGCCCAGAGACTCGGGACTTTCGTGTCCAGGCTTTTTGAGAAATGAGTCGAGCCAGAGTCTCCACCTGGGAAGTCTAGACCACGAGATGCAGTGAAACTTCGAGGTGGCACTGGAGCTGAACGGTCATACAGGGGTGGGCCAGGGGCACCCACCACTGCGAGCCCAAACCTCACACAGACCAAAGGTGCAGGCAGCAGAAACGACGTCCAGACAGGAGACTGAGGCAGGGAGTGAGAGGAGAGGAAGGGCACATCGCAGAGAGGAGGGGCCATGAGGTGGCAGGGGCGCCTCCACCCCTCGTGGCCTGGATACCTATTCCGTCCCCACGAGGCTCCTCTGTCCTTCTGCTCCCTATTCCTGGATGTCTGGGAGATTGCTTGTTATAGCCCTGTAAGCAAACCTCTAACTTATTTGATGTAATTTCAGAGGAATTCTGTTCTTTTCAACTAGACAGAGCCTAACCAAAGCCTGATTATGTAAGAATGTTCCCTGTCCCTTTACTGCTCTGCATTCCCTAGATCTCACCCTCACCCTCCTTCCCTTACAAAGGACAAGGGAGACCATGTTTCGCTACATTTTCATTTCCTCAAAGCTCAGTAATTAACAAACATAACCTTTACTTAAGAATCTCATATTTCCAGAATTACTACCTAACTGAATGGTGAGCCTACACAACACACCAACAAACACAATGTGTGTGACGGGTTGGGTAAATTTAACGTGTCATGTCAAAAAATAAACCTAAATCAGTTTTCGTAACCATCAAAAAGCTAAAAACCTGGCTTCCGGGTGGTTTATTTTGGTTGCTAAACAAGCCAAATAGTTTTGCTTTCTCTTAATGCTGTCATTTACTCAGTCTTTAGATTAAGATGCAGATCAGAAAAAACATGGGTTTAACCCTAAAAATGTCCGACTCATGTCACATGCAGGTATGGCTCAGCTTGGGGAGAACTGATAACAATGGTGCTATAATAATGGCAAAGATTGGAGCATTCTTTACATAATAACAGTTGATTAACTGCCAAAATGTCCCCAAACTGAAGAAGAGTTATGGAGTTTGTTTCCAATTTATATTATATTTTACATCTGCTTTTGCACATTTTTGCCTCTAGCCGATGGTGATTGGTCAAGGAGTCTGTGGTTGATTTTTGAATTGCCCTTAAATATGGGCCTATTAGCCACAAATGTGGGGTTGGACAGTCAGTGGTGACAAAGTTTCAGATTCACTTTCCCTTACAGCCAAGAGCTGCCCTTCTGGTGTGCCGGGGAAGCACAGAGCTCTGGTGGGGAGTCTGACACTCACTTCCAGCACAAGGGACAGCAGCAATGGGCTGACCCTGAAGACGGGGTACTTAAACCACCCGTGCACGGGTTCTTCTTAGGGGTAAAAGTTTACCTTGTCTTGCGTTTCCAAACTTAATTTGACGAAGAGAAAAATCAGCTGGGTGCAACTGAGACTTTCAAAATCTAGCGACCTAAATAATTAAGTTCAGCCCCATCCCTTAAAGCAGGAACTGTGAATACTCTACCTAGGAAGGCTTCCTTAATTTCAGTCTTGTCTGTTCGCCGGATAATTTTCACCACACAAATAACAGCCAGGGGTGTGAGGAAAGAAATTGCCTGGAAGAAATAACAAAGAATCCCTTATGAGGACAGCAGTTTGCTATCAGAGGGCTGATTGATAACTAGTTCCAGTGAGCTTCGTTTAGACTCACTAGTTGAATGATCTTACTGAACTCCTGACCTCAAACAAAGAAGGATTTATATCTATACTTAGAGACTCCACAGACTTGAAAAATCAGAGGTCTGATTATGGGTTATAACTGACTTGTAATTGCTGGGAGCCACGTTTTAAGTAGTGGCGCTTTTTTTTTTTTCGGTACGTGGGCCTTTCACTGTTGTGGCCTCTCCCGTTGCAGAGCACAGGCTCCGGATGCGCAGGCTCAGCGGCCATGGCTCACGGGCCCAGCCGCTCCGCAGCATGCGGGATCCTCCCGGACCGGGGCACGAACCCGCGTCCCCTGCATCGGCAGGCGGACTCCCAACCACTGCGCCACCAGGGAAGCCCCAAGTGGTGGCTTTTTAAACAGAAAAGACCAGTCCATAATTATACTGACTCATCTTTGCCAGTAACCCTCCTCCCGTCCTCCCCTGCAGAGGCGCGGAAGAACCCTTGGCCTCCATCCTCAGCACCCTGGCAACATGGGAGCACATGGGACTTGCTTAGAGTCGCCTGATTCATTCCCTTTTGGTGTTCTTTTGTCAAATATTGATTTCCACTGCAAAGCAGAGGTTAGTCCTTTTCCATGAAGTCTCTCCTCTTCCCTTCCTCCACCCCCTTTCTTCCCCTGGACCAAAGCACTTGGGAGTGCAGTAAGCGCTTAATGAACCAAGCTGGTGGGATTCAGATGCAAGCGACACTCACTACTGAACCTTCTATGAGGCAGGAACTATGTTTGGGTACCGTCAGGCACTGGAGTCTCTTAAATCCTCACGCTGGCTTTGTGACAATTCCTTGCCAGGCTTGGGGACTACATCACGTGCCCAAGGACACACAGCTGGTGAGTAGGAAGGCCCAGCTTTGGAGGTCAGGTTTTCTGCCTCTCATGTCTAATCTTTAGTCAGCATTCTATAATTAGTACATTGTTTTCAACGTTCCAACAATCAAGAAAAAGGTATTTATGTTATTTCCTTATGATTATAACGTCTCAGGATAACAATCAAAAGGGATTAAATTATCTCACAAATCTACAATTGGCTCACAGATGGTGGTGGGAGCGGTGAGGTGTGTCACTATTAACCAAACAGCGTTCCCACTTTGGGAAATCTCCACCTGGGCTCTGATCGGTGTCACTCTTTGGAGAGGGGCTTTCCAAGACTAAGGCATGGCTAGAAGATACTCTCCTTTTTTAAAAAACAGAATTCATCCAAATGCACAGTCTTTCAAAATAATTTCGGAGGCCCTGCACACTTGCTACAGCCAGACTGCCAGAGCTCAAAGCATCTTGGGAGCTCCTCTTTGGGAGCTGTCTTCAGAGCCAGTTCCTGAGACGTGAAAACGCTTCTCCTTACTGGCTGGTTTCTTTCTGAGCACAAATGGTAGTAACAGCTTGATGAGCCTCCTTATCGGCAGTGGCCCCGAATGACTTGGCTATTAAAACGCCACATCAGCAAGTCCTATCACCACGGAGAGTGTTCAGAAGACTGTGACACAGCTCTAAGGGAAGATTCAGAACTGAAGCAGGGGATTTCCCCAGGGGCGACTCATAAAGGCCACACTCGCTTGTGAGTTAAGAACAAGCGTGCTGTGTAACAAGCATCTCAAATGATGCTGGGGACTGAGAAACACTGCGTCAGTTTTGACTCACACATTCAGTGTTTAGAGAGCAATGGCTGAAGCCCCTGCTTACGTAAGTCCAAAGTTACGGTCGAGGCCAAAGAAGTCCTGAGCTTTCTCACTTTGGGCACCAGAGACCAGCTACCACCCCCAAACAGGAGAAAGCAGCTCACTGAACAGTGAACAGTGCTGCAATGACCCCACCGACAGTCAAACCTTAAATATGAGAATGGAGAACTGAAGAAAACACTGTAGGACAATCCCAGCTGGCACAGTCTGAGGTTAGACAGAAATGGAACCGCAGAGAAAATATGAATCGGAAGACTTTCCCTCCAAGGCTCCAGAGGCTGCCTACAGGAGATGATCCCGAGCAGGACTGTGGTGACCAAACAGGAGATGGAGCGCCGTGTGGGAGACCGCGGCTCCAAGCCCGGGAGTCGGAGCCGGGGAAGGCATCAGAGCTGCCCGGTGGCTCCAAGCTTCAAGGCCAAGGGGGTCCCTCTTAGCACTGCTCGCTGCCTCAGCTCTCCCGCTCTTAATTACATCCCCATCCAGACTTGCCCAACCAGACAGCACTTTAACTCTCCTAGGTAGATGCACGTTGGTCTGTCTTCTAGAACCAAGGACAAACTGCTTCCTGGGCCAAGGCTAAGCACCAGGAGGGCCCAGGGCTTCCCATCTCACGAGCTTCGCAGGTGAGGAATTGCAGCCACCAGGCTAGGGTCCCAGCCCCCGCCCAGGCGGCCGCAACAGAAATGTCTGCACGTGACTGTCAGGGGTCTTTCTCCGCTCCTCTCATGCTAACGACATCTGGGTTCTGGTCTCGCTCCTTCTTCCTGGAAACACATCTGCCATATCCTTGGGCAGCGCAGTCCTCCGATCAGGACAGAGACTTACTTACATTTACCACCTGCTGCCCCCAACTTTTTATAACTCCCTTTCAACCAGAAGTTGGAATTAAGAGATGAGCCCCAGAAGCCAACACGTTAGGAAAACAACTTCCTCCGGGGCAAAAGCACCTCTGAACCGAGTGAAAGAATGAAGAAAAAAGAAGCACCCCACTTTCACTCAGCAAACCGGACTGAGTTAAACCGATGCCTGCCCCTTCCACGTTCTGACAAACGCCTTTAGAAGGCACTGTTCTGCTGCCCAAGCCCATGGAGGAGATGAAGATGGACACAGAGACACAGGGGTGGGAGTGGTTACTTCTACCTCCAAACAGGTGCGGAGATGGAGCACAGAAAGGGACAGGCAAAATTTCCCCTGGGATTGTTTCCCTTAGATTAATGTTTCCATGGCTTAAAAAAATTGGAAGATCCTGGGAATGGCCCAGTGGGAAGACAGTTGATCGTCTGTGCTTATTAAATGGGACCTGAGAGACACCAGGACAATGAACTCCAGCCCCTCACTGCTTCAGGATGCAGGGAACATACTGACCCCTTCTCTGTGCTTGAGTTTTCCCCACTAGTTATGAGAAAAGGGCTGCTCTTCTGAAAACTCACTAATGACATGGTCTGTTACAGGCACTTCGGTAAATTAACTCATTCAATCCTCACAGCAACCCTAGGAAGCAGGCTCCTTACTTAATGGATAGAAAACTAAGGCACAGAGAGGTTAAACAACCTGCTAAAAGTCACACAGCTAATAAGTGGTAAAGTGGGAATTTGCACTCAGTCTGTTTAAATCAAGCTCTGTGCTTCTAACCCATGCTGTAGCAGTTCTCACCTCAGAAGCAAGAAGCATTAATAAAGCATGGTAAACACCTTTACTCTGGAGCTGGAGAAGGAAAGAATGGGGCTTGTTTCCAGGAACATGGATAAGTCATAGAAGTGTTAGTGGCAGCTGTCATGGATTAAGCACCTACTATGTATTAGGGCCTTTCCTCACATTGTCTAATCCTCTAGCTACTCCGTTAGGGGAAACATCCTCCTTGTACAGAAAACAAAACTGGAACTCAGGGAGATAAGGGAACACACAATTGCTTGCAGCTACTGGGACCATGACGCTCCAATCCGGGCTGCCGTGCTACCTGGGTTGGAGTCCTGAATCAGAGTGATCAGCTTAGCCCGACAGCCTCATCTTACAGGTGGGGAAACTGAGCGTGAGATCACCTTGTATCAAAGAACGTCTTGTAAGCTGCTAATCAAATGTGCCACACAGCACCCACATATCAAGGTAACACATAAAAGTCATTAAGCAGAGCCTGGGATGTGGCTGGTTTTGCATGATGCTCTTCCACCGGCAAGGAAGCCAGAGCTCCTGTGGAGCAAAATGAATGTGGGGAACAGACTCAGATCTAGTAGAACCAGTCTCATGCCCCAGCTCTGATATTTTCAGCTCTGTGACCTTGAGTATGTCACTTAACCTATTCACCTTTGAGTCTCAGTCTCAGTGTTCTCACCTATCAAATGGGTATAGTGATGATATACATAGCAAAGCATGGTTGCAGGGATTTAAATTCACCGAGTAGTTGTTGAATGCTTCTTATAGATCACACCCTAAGTGAAGTGTTGTAAGTCTGTCACCCTATTTGAAGCTCTCAACACCCTGGGGAGGGAGGAAAGTGTTGTTAAAGCCCCCTTTTACAGATAAGGAAACTGAGGCACTGAGGGGGGAGGTGATTTTCCCAATTCACGAAGCTAGTAATTAGCAAAGCTGGGAGTGGACCGAGGCAGTCCACTCTAGAGCCCCTGCCAACTGCTCACCCACGAGGCCCAGCAGAGAGTTAGTTAGTATCCAGGAAATTCTGGCTGTTGTTCCCAGGGAAACCTGTGAACAGATGACCAATGCCAGGATCCTGTAACCAGACACATGGGAATAGAGCGCTTTAAGCTCCAGCCCATCTGTGCAGGGAGGTCGGGCGCAGGGAAGAGCCCCATTACTCCAGGCGCCTTGCCAGTGCCCTACAGGACCAGTGTCTCCAGCAAGGGCCCTGCCTTGCGCATCCACCAATGAAACCAACACAGGAAGTGCCGTCCATCCCGGCCATTGCTACACGCAGACCGTGGGTAAACCTGGGCACTGGTACAAGGCGCTGTGTGGCCAGCATGCTTCTGGGAATCTGCCAAGCACGGAGCAGTGTGTGTGCAGGGAAGGGCATGAATGTGCCAAGCACTTTTAACCACCGAAGGGGCTGAAGCCAGGGCACCTGATGTTAGGGTGCCAGCCAGAGAAGAGCTTGTCCCTGGGGTTCAACCGCATCAGACAAAACAGTGGGCCCAAAGTGCCCTAATTCCCAGCATCTGACAGAAAGGTGTGCTGCGCGGTGCTTTTAACAACTCAGGACAAGCAAACACCTGGGAAAGGCCCTGCTGTGGGCAAACAATTATAGCCCGTCACAAAGCCAAGAGTGAAGACTTTTCAAAGGTGTCTAAAAATTAAACTATCACAAGCCAGCTTTGTCTCCTTTCCTTCCCTCCTCCCCCCAAATTGACTTTATTTCCATCTTCCTTAGAAGCATCCTATTCCAGAATAGAAACCCCTGTTATCAAATCAACACAACCTCAACGATATTCTACAGAAGTAAATCTTCTGGACATATCAGTATCATGGCCAGAGCAAAACGAGGGGCAAAGGACAGGTCTTGGGTACATTTTTTTTTAAGCCAGGGAAAGAAATTGGGAAACACTTACCATTCCTTCAGTTCCCTACCTGAGTCCTGCCTGTCCTTCCAGGGCTTTCCTGTGATGCTGAACCACCTGACTCATGTTCATGACTGTGCCCCCACTAGACTAGAAACCACACCTTATTCAGCTTCGCACCTCCGCTACCCGCCGCTGGGCTTGGCTCAAGGAAGGTGCTTCGTAACTTTCTGCTGAATGAACTACTAATTAACTTACGTGAAGCTGTCCACAATCTGCCTGGATCCCTGCCGCCCTCGGCCCCCTGCAGCACACAGCACTCCAAGCAAATGCCTGTTCGTGGGCCCCACGCGGCCCTGGCTCTGCTGTGCCTGTGCCTGTACGCCTGCTCTTCTGTGTGTGACACGCTGCACTCCCCACCTGGCCACCTCACCTGAGCCCCCAAGGAGGCAGCACAGGCGAGCGGCTCCAAGGCCGTCTGCGCTCTGACTGCTGGCATTCAGATCCTGGTCCAGCCACTGATGCTTGTAAACCTTGGATAAGCTGTTTAACCTCATGACAGTTGCATTTTCTCCACTGAAATGATGGGATAACGAAAGTGCCAACCTCAAAGGATTCTGAGAGAATTCACTAAGACGCTGTTTGTAAAACGATGAGCGCAGTGCCTGCACTCAAGAGATGCTGCCTGCGGTTGTTCCTACCATGATGAGAAGGAGGAGGGCGATAATGAGCATCCCTAAAAGTTTACCTGAGCCTCTCCGCCGGCTCTTTCCAGATTCCACTTTGCTGTAGAGTACCGCGTCCCCCAGGAGCCTGCAGGGGTCCAATCTGATTTGACTTCCCATCACCTGCAGCTCCTATGGCTTTCCTCACCCACATCCAGCCCCTGGGATTGTTCTCTGGACACACAAAGACACGACTACTACAGACCACAAAGAGAGTACTGAAAAGCAACACCCGACACCAAGGGAGTCTTCCTACACCAAAAAGTAGGCTTTCAAAGATGATCTGATAACCTCCACACACTCAGAAAGGAAGCATGACCTCTTCTGCATAAGGGAGCAGCTGATGGTTGGGAACATCCAGGGAATGTTAAGTCGGGACGCAGCGTGCGAGAAAAGAGTGCTCAGCCTGCCTCTCTGGTCCACAGGAGCTCAGAGTCATCAAGGGAGACAAGCTCCTGGAATCAAACGGTCCAACCACACCCAAGTTTCACGTTGACAGATATAGTCACCTCAGCTGATGGTGCCAAGGACAGAGGAAATGCCAGCCAGGGGCTTCTTGGTGATGTCATTACTGCTCACTTAATTCCCTAACATTCTGATATTATCTTTGTGACATTTGAACAAGTAGCTCCTTTAAAACACACATGCGCGCGCGCGCGCGCATACGCACACGCACACGCACGTGCTCAAATAGGCACAACTCCAGAGACACTGATTTCCCAAATAAAGAAACATCTGGGTTATAGCAGCTGCCTTTAAAAAACACTTTGGTTATTAGACAGCAAGTTTGCCTTTATAGTAAAACATTCTAAACAGAAGTAGAGGAGATCCCAGGATTCTGTTTATGCATGAAATAATGAAATTTGAGCTTTCTAAGGAAACCAAGCTATTTTTTAAAAACAGTGAAAATATGTTTTATTACAGATTCTTCTATAAACACCAGAAGGTTTAAAAGGATCAAAAGCAGACAAATGATGTCTTGTATTAAACTCTTAATAAAACCCAGGAGAACAAACCTAATTTATGCGGTGACAAAGCATTTTTCATCTTGTGTTACACATATTCTAAATGTATCTACTGCTTTCCTTGTGTTATTATGGAATCGTACTAAATCTTGTGACCAAATGAATGAAATTCATCAACTACTATTAACAAAACAAAAGGCTGAACTTATTTCATTAGGAGGCTAGAGGGTATGAATCAGTGTTTGTGGCTGAATACCCCTCTATTCTCCGAGAATCACAGCACTGAAGAACTCCTTTACCGCCTCCTTCTCTTCACTGCCAGCATGCAAATGTGCTCCATCCTATTTGTGTCTGCAGCCAGAATATTTGTGGGGTTTTTATCTAGACTTCAAAACAATCCATTGTTCACAAATCTAGGACACAGCCACAAATTTCTCACAATATACCAAATGAACATTCACTCCAAATTGGGTTTTACAGTACGCGAAATGTGAAATCTTTGAAAACGGAAACAAGTGATCAACAGAAGCTTCCCCTATTAAAACCACGGAGTAAACTAGTTAGACACACACTAGTTACTTTATTTCTAGGATTTATGGAAGATTTGAGTTAGAGCAGAAATGGAAAAAAATCTGATTTTAATACTCAAGTGTAAGGTAATACCCTACTCACAAGCACCCTGCTTTTTTCAATTTCCCCGACATTTACAAAAATCCAGTTTATTTTCCAGCAGAAAAGTAATTATGAAAAAGCAATTAAAATAATACTGTGATACTCATGCAGTGTTCCGGGCACTTTGGGATGTTTGCAGACACAAAGATCTTTCCCATCATCACCGATGAACAAGATTTCCTCCACAAAATCAGAGGGATTTGTTTCAAAATGCAAAAATATTCCTCATGTCCTCTATAAAAGCTCTGGAACAGTCATTTAAGTTCCCAGAGGCAAGACACACAATGGCTGCTCAACAGGAATAAGCTTCAAGCTACAAGGCTGCCCATCCAGAAGCTGCGTTATTGCTCTGTAACGAGAGGGAGCTTCAATACTTCCTCTGCTACAGAAAGGCCTGAAGGCAATTCTCCAGGAGCCAGTGAGCTCCAGCAAGGAGTCCTGGACACTCGGCTCCTGATTGCAGGGCAGCCTCCTGGCTGCGAGCAGGGCTTAGAGCTGGCTGCTCGGATGTGAGTCGTGGCTCTGCTGCTCTCTAGCTTGTGTGGCTTTGGGCAAGTTCCCTCATCCCTCTGGGATGCAGGTCTGCACCTGCAAAATTCGGGCAATAATGACATCTTCCTCACTGGGACATTGGGTGGGACTAAATGAGATAATCCTTTCTTAAGCTCTCAGCCACGGGCCCGGCACATAGTAGAGGAAGTGTAAGAGACTGTAATCGACAAGGGACAGAGCGAAGAGGTAAAAATGTCCCAATATATCCACCAGCTATTTATCCTAGGACCAGAGATGCTGTCAGGGGTGAACTACACCTAGTGGTCTCGCCACTGGTCAACTGACCAGCAAAACCCAGAAAAGTGGTTGCCTGAGTACAGCTAGACCGAGCTTTTTTTAAAAACAGATGGAGCAGGACTCTGTTCACTAGTTGCTCATCTTATTTTACTCTCAGTATCTGGAACAACTTGGGTTTAGCTCAGGTAAGCAGGGCCCTTCTTTTCCAAAGCGTCGGGCAACTGCTTCTCACATGACCAAGCGGCGACCATCCTGATCTGGACCTGAATTTTAATTTAATGGGCAGCTCGCCTCTTTTTTTTTCAGGCTGCTTGCCATCATCAGCAGGGGTTGGAAATGCAGAAATGAAAAGCCATTTGGTTCATACTTGGGAGAGCGGTCAAATCAGCCATGAAGTCATGGTACTTACAAACATGAGGCGGGTAGGTATGTTGTCTGACTGCACCAAAGGATTTTTATAGAGCCAGATCTCCTCCGGCTGGATGACTCTCTGGAATGGATCCAAGAACTCCGTAAAACTGAAACGAAACAAAGAAAGAGGCGTGAGGGCTGAGCACTGGAGAAGGTGGCTGCTGCACACGCTCAGGCGGACGATCTGGCCTCTGGGGGAGGAGGGGGGGGAGGACAGGCTGCCCGGCTGATGGTTCTCGGCCAGTTCCAACCGGGGAAAGATGGAGGTAGTTACCAAGACTGTAGAATCTTCTGTCGCCACCTGCCACCTAGGACTAATTGTGGGCATGAGAGAACGGCTGTGAGGCTGACATACAAAGACTCTAGAAACTTGGGGATCCAAAGTGAACTGGGAGTCGAAGTCCAGAATGGTGGCTCAGACTGGGGCAAGGCCAGGCCAGCAGCACAGTCTCTGGGAACGAAATGGACTTGAGTTGAACAAAGGTGAGGGAGCAGCAGGCAGGACTAGAGGAAGAACCGGCAGTGTTCTTCCCTCCACGTTCCCCCAGACGGCACCCTGCCACCATCAGCACCACCAGGAGGCAGACTGAGCTTCAAGAGAAGACAGAAGGTAGAGACAGGAGAGAAACACAGAGGAGAGGAAAGAAGGAAGGGAGAGGGGGATGCGGTACATTCTGGGGCTGCTACCAGGAAACTGGACAGCTCTAAACAGCCACCTCCTCATCTCGTCACCTCCCGACCCCTCAAGCATCCTGGGAGCCCAAAACATCCAGGCGGATGAAAAGAACTACCACCAAGAGAAAACCTGGGGGGAAGAACAGACAGAGACTGCAGGTTTGCTTTGTCAGCTCTTCTTGGCCATCAGGCCGCCTCCCAGCTCTCCAGCTCAGCTCTTCACCTGGTGAATTCAGTTCAGAATGGCTTGAGATGTGGCCGGAGGGAGAACAGGGGCCAGGTGACTCAGGGCTTGAGTGCCAGGCTAAGGAATTTGGCTTTTGAACCAATGATGAATTGGTTCTACTGAGAAGTGTAGAATGAGAATTGGTTCTACTGAGAAGTGTAGAATGAAACTCCCCATTCCAGATAGCGGCGAAGATGGGGAACTGCAGCAGAACAGAGAAGGGAAGGCAGAGAGAGTGAGGAGGTTACGGCAGCTGTCCCAGCAAGAGACTGCTGCAGAGTGAAGGAAAGGGCAGGACAGAATGGAAGAACGTGCACATGGGAGGTGGGTGGTCAAAGCAGATTCCAAGGGCTCTGGCTTGGGCTTCCAGGAAAAGCGGTACCATCACCAGGATGGGGAGGACGCGGAGGTCAGCTGTCCTCTCGTCTAGGGAACCACACCCAGGTGACCAACAGTCTGGGTTTGCCCAGGACTCTCCTGGCTTTAGCACTGAAAGTCTTGTGTCCCCGGAAAAGCCCGTCTTAGGAAAAACCTAGATGGTGGGTCATCTTAAAGCCATCCCAGCCCTGGGACAGAATCAGGGGTCTCACAGCCTTGGTTTCCACCCTAGACTCGGGCCTTTGTATGATCATCATTTGTTTGTATGTCCAGCTGCACTGGGAGGGTGTAGAGGCTGGGGGTCACTCCAGGGCTGTGTCCTCAGAGCCCAGTGACTGCAGAATCTGATGTCTGTTCAGGCCTTTGAACAGCTGCCACAGAAAACACCCTCAGTCTGATCAGCCTCACACTGAATCCTATCATGTACCTACAAGAGACCTAAAATTCAACCTGTCTTTTGTGTCTCTCTATACATATCCCTCCCTCTTTCTCTGTCTCTCTCTCTTCCTCTCCTCCCCTCCCTCTCCCCCCAGCGGAGGTTTTAAGTCCTAAAACTCTGTCCCTCCATCCGTTTATTTATGTAATTTCAAGAAGAAAGCGGCGCCGGCCCCTGACTGTTTTGTTCAGCACTGTGTCCAGAACATTTCTGCTGCAGGATCTTACTGCAAGTGCCCTGAGATCCCATCATTGGTGTGTAAGGTAACTTCTGCTAACGGCCCTCCAAGCCTCCTCCAAAGTGAGACCCGGGGGAGCATGCTGTCTGGGCGCTGGGAAACCTGCTCTCTGCCCCAGCTCTGCCATTAAGCTGCTCTGGGCTTCAGGACAAGCCACTTCTCCTCACTGGGCCTCAGTGCCCTCACCTGCAACACGGGAGGTTGGGCTAAGCCAGAGGTGACAAATGGAGATGGGTCAGAACCACTGGAGACACCCTACCCCAGACCTACAGTAGGGTAGACTGGGCCTGATATGTGGATTTTAAAACACTCCCCAGGTGACCCTGAAGGGCCAGCACTGAACGGAATGATCTCTAAGGGTCCTGAGCCCTTGTCCTTAAGGAAAGGAGACTTAGAGATTTAGCTCTCCATGTTAACAATTCTTCCATCTGCTGCAGGACAGGCTATGGAGTCAGGTCCATCCACGTTCAAACTCCAGCTCCGGCTGTGTGGCTCTTAGTGAGTTCCTTAACATCTCTGAGCCTCAGTCGTCCCATCTATAAAATGGGCACTCCTTAAAGTGTGGGAGTAAAAATAAAATGAAAGAATATAAAGTACCTAACAGAGCATGAACAGAAAGCAGCATTTTATCACCCTTATCATTTTACTCTTGCCTCCATCTGCAAGTTTTTACTAGACAGTTTTCAGGCTTTCTTTTGGGGGGGTGGGGGGATTCATTTTGTAACAACCTACTCACTGCACCCCAGTGTTTTTAAAACATTTTAAATATAACTAAGGAAAAAGAATTTTGTTTTAGAGTTGTTTTTGAGAATATACTTGTAAAAACCAAAGCTTCCAGAACACTCCAGTTACTCTGGCTGCATAGCAAATTACCCCAAAACTTAATGTCTGAAACCAACCATTTTGTTTTGCTCATGACTTTGTGGATCAGAAAACTGAGAAGGGTCCAGCTAGGCAGAGTTCACTGAGAATCTCTCATGTGGTCACAGCAGTTAGATGTCAGCTGGGGCTGCATCACCTGCAGGCTTGACCGGGCTGGACATCAGGATGGCCTGTCACGTGGCCACCGTGGGTGCCGGCTGTTGGCCAGGAGCTCAGCTGGGGCTGCCGCCTGGAGCACCTCACATACTTCTCCAGCACCGCAGTCTCAGCATAGTCAGAATTCTTTATTCTGCTGGCTTCATCCAGATTGCGGGTTCCAAGAGGACCAGGCAGAAGCTGAATGGCTTTTCTGACCCAGCCTCCGAAGTCTTGTGGCATCACTGGGTTACATAAGGTCAGCCCAGATTCAAGAGAGGGGACCCTACTCTACCTCTTGGCAGGGGTGTGGCAAAGTCCGCATTACAGAAAAGCAGGTAAGATGAGAGATATGGCTGCAGCCACCTTCCATATACAATCTGCCACCCACAGGCTGTCATCGCTGTAATGGTCCTGCAGCTCCCACTCTCAGAGACCCCAGAGCCTTGATTCCTGTGTCCTCCCCACACAGCTGGCCGCAGGGACAGGGAGCTGGCACACCGCTGAGCACTGTCCTTCCTCACCTCCTTTGCCTCCCCAGGGACACTATCCTCGTGGCCATTTTTTAAAGCCTCGCGCACCCAGCCTTTTGCACGATTCCTCACCCCACCCTGAGTGGCTGCAGCCAGAACACATCTGTCAAGCCAATTATATCCTTTGGGAGCAGCAGTGCCAAGAAAGATAGATGTCCCCTGTCCAGCCATGCACCAGCCACAGGCGTCGGCTTCTGAGAATCCAGATAGTGAGGCAGCTACACAGAGGACATGGGTCTCAAAGTGCAAACAGGAGCAGAGGTGGACATGTGGTGGAATGGAAAGCTCTGGAAGGTGTGTTCCTAAGAGAGGGCAATGCCAGGCCTGGAAACATCCTTCCATGAGCTCTTTGTAAAGTGATTTGGAAACAAGGAAATGGAAACCCCGCTTCCACATGAGTAGTTCAGGCACGGGCTCTAACTGCCTGCTCGGCAGGCCTCACTACACACTGAGGACACCCCAGCAGCAGCATGCACGATCAGGGCTTCCCGAATGTTAATGTGCCCGGGAACCACCTGGGGGTCTGGTGAGTGCAGATACGGCAGGTCCAGGGATGGGACTGAGGGCTGGCACCCCAACAAGCTTCCCGCTGATGCTGACGCTGCTGGTCTGTGGATCAAACCTGGAGTCGCCAGAGGCCAGGGCAGCAGCATAACCTAGGAGGGAGCTTGTTAAAAATGCAGAATCTTGTGCCCCAGCCAGGATCTACTGACTCAGAATCTTCATTTTTAACAAGATTGGTGTGAGTGCTACAGCTGGAGACACAGAGCTCTCGGGGAAAGCCAGCGCTTCCCAACTTCGGCCATTTAAGAACCAAGTTGGCCGGTGTTGCCTGATCTGCCCTCCACCTGTACTGTGATTTTTCTTCAGACTTTGTAAACGAAAATGCGGTTATTCCAGAAGAAACTTCATGACACTGCTGAATTATGAAATCAGGATTCCCTCTATAAACAGCTGGTAAACGTCAGAATAAATACAATGAAAACAAAAGCATGCTCTTAAATTCTACCTTGATGCTTTTACCTCTGGGTGGAGGCCTGCCTTCCCTGTGAGGGTCAACAAGACCTTCCGTGATGGAAGGAGAGGAGGCGGGGCGCATGTGCCCCCTCCGTGGTGTCGAGTCAGGTGGATCACATCCATGTGTAATCTAAATCCACCTTGCAAAGCCCCTACAATCCTCTCCAGCACCACTTGTGTCACAGGAAAGGCAGAAAAAAGATGAAAAACAAAGGTGACAACTCAAAAGCACAGCAATCTGGGGCCATTCGGTAGAGAAGAAAATAGCCCCACTGGTCTTAGTAATGCCTGCAAGCATCAGCATATCCCAGGCCAGTATAATGACCAATGTCCTTGAGTTTCCAAGAAAAGGATGAAGAAAGTGTAGCAACTCTTTGACCACTGTGAGGTGTGTAAAACCACTTTGCTTATTTTCATTTCCAATAAATTCAATGCAGAGAAAAACATCTCAATGCCCAGAAGGAGTCTGACAGATCCACGGATGCAGAGTTCCTCACAGTCTGAGGCTGAGAATCAAAACTGTCCTCACTGTGAATGGCATTTCTGCATCACTGCAGAGACTCATGGAAAAAAGGAGATTTGGTGTG